TTTCATTTTCTTGGATTTTTAAAAAACTCGGATAAATTGCTATTTGATCTTTGACTGTAACCCACAGGTAAAAATCAGTCTGCTTCATCACTGGGTAAAAACGTAAGTCATTGTGACTCACAAAGCCCCGTGTCATTCTTTCACTACTCACCCTTCCTCCGCTTCCAGCTGACAGCCTCCTGGTGGTTCCGGAGCCCTTGGCCTGGTTCTGCTGTGGGCCTTTGCCCTCTCCCCCTGGATGTCCCACAGCTGATGCTTCCACATCTCTGTTCAGGTATGTCCTGGCTCAGCAGCAGCCTCCTGGCCACCCTATTCAAATACACGAATACCCCTGTCTCCTTTATCTCACTATTTTCTTTTTATCCTCACCCAAGGACATTTTTCCATTTTTTCTACAGATAGAGTGGGAGGGGGAGAGAAGAAGAGAAAGAGAAACATCGATGTGAAAGGGACACATCGAGTGGCTGCCACCCGCACGACTAACCAGGGCCGGGGACAAACTGCAACCGAGGTACATGCCCTTAGCGGGAACTGAACCCGGGTCTCTCCGGACTGCAGGCCGACGCTCTAACCGCTGAGCCAAACCAGCCAGGGCCACTTTATTTTCTTCTTCCAAACCATTTAACCTCTTCTGACATATTTATATATTTTATATATTTGTCTTTCCAAGTTATTGAAATAAAATGAAATTTCCACAAGAGCAGGGATTTCTGTCCCTTGTTCACTGGTAGCCTTAGTTGTCTAGAATTCTACCTCGCCCTTAATGTAATAAATGTTATTCAGTACTTTACTCTTCAAAAGGTAAAAATTAGTATTTTTCTTGAGACTTTAATTCAACTTTGTAGAGTTTTACCACATGCCTAGTACTATAATAAACACTTGAGATCGTTGTGATGGGTAAATGATATACCTGGCCCAGATGAGTTACAAGATGTTGGGGGTGTTTTATACCCAGAACACACATATGGTCAGCTATGTACTAGGTATGAGATGCTATGCACTTGATTCTTTGACCCCTTAGACTATCCTAGGAGTAGAGTTAAGCCTAAACCATTAGATGCATTTAAGCCCTAGGTCTTCCTTTCTTTACCTAGTTCTAATGCTCTTAAGAGTAGAAAAGGTGACTCAACACAGTAAACAGCAACCCACAGAATTGGAGGAAATACTTGTAAATCATAAAAGATTGCTATTCTCAACAACAACCTGGTTTTAAAAATGAGCAGAGGACTTGGATAGACATTTATGCAAAGAAGATATAGAAATGAAAAAATGCCCAACATCACTAGTCACTATGGAAATTTAAATCAAAACCATGAAATACTGGTTCATGCCCATTAGCACTGCTGTTAACAAGAAAAAGATTTTGGCAAGATATGGAGAAATTGGACCCCTACCTAGTACATTGCTGGTGGAAATGTCAGATGGTACAGTTGCTGTGGAAAACCATAAGATGATTCCTCAAAAAATTAAACATAATTACCACGATTCAGCAATTCCACTTCCAGGTACACACGCTCAGAAGTTAAAAGCAGGGACTCTTAAATGGATCTTTGTATACCCAAATTTACAGCAACATAGTTTACAGTAGCCAAAAAGTAGAAGCAACTCAAATTACCTGACAGATGGTATACATACAATAGTCACACTTTGGTTCCTGAAAGTCTTTCTATTCAATTTGGTTCTCCACCAAGTTGTTCACGGAAAAAATGTCTCTCGACTTAATGTTCTCTGCTTCACAACCCTTTCAGATACAGAAGCATGACAAAAGGTGTCTCTCAGGCCACAAACATAAGAGAATGTGCCAGTATGAAGTCAGTTTACAGCTCAACCTTGCCTTAGCATCACAGGAAATTGTGCTGGGAATATTTTTGTGGGTTTTTTGCTCTTGGTGCTGGTGAAAATGATTAGCCGAATTTTAAAACAAAGGCCATCAAGAGTGCTAATGTTGCTAAGGGTGTGAAAGAAACAACACAGACAATTGAAGAGGTAGAAAAACAATTTGGATTAAGGAAAAGCAGCCAGTGACAGCATTTTCTAGGTGATACATGAAAAATGGAAGATGATGCATGCTGACCCCCCGAGAGGCACCCCTGTAATGAGTGCTGAACAAGATTTGTTTAAGGCCAGTAGCGGATGGTTCAATACATTTAAGAAATGTTTATAAGCAGTCCATTAAACATGTACTGTATATAAGAATGGTTAAAACAGTCATTTAGGGGTCTGGAACAAATTAACTCAATTTACATTACTTCTAATGGGAAAAAATGATTCCATTTTCTTGTTTTTTTATCCTCACCCGAGGACATTTTTTGTTCAGATAGAGAGGGAGGGAGAGAGAGGAAGAGAGAGAGAGAGAAACATCGACGTGAAGGGACACATCGAGTGGCTGCCACCCGCACGACCAACCAGGGCCGGGGACAAACTGCAACCGAGGTACGTGCCCTTAGCGGGAACCAAACCCGGGTCTCTCGGGACCGCAGGTCGACGCTCTAACCGCTGAGCCAAACCGGCCAGGGCAAAATGATTCCATTTTCAAACAAATTGCTTCTCAGTCTTCCAAAATGAATTAAGTTCAAGAACCAAGGTTCCACTGTATTCAGCCTTAAATGAAGGGAAATTTTGACACATGCTACAACACGGGTGAACCTTGAAGACATGCTAAGTAAAATAAGCCAGTTACAAAAGAATACTGTATGATTCTTATGAATTCTGGAATTGTCAGAGTAAGAGGCAGAATGGTGGTGGCCAAGGGCTCGGAGGAGGGGGAAATAGGGAATTAGTGTTTCATGGGTAGCTTCAGTTGGGGAAGGTCAAGTTCTGGAGATAGATGATGGTGATGGTTGCTCAACAATGTACACTTAAAATGGTTAAAATGGTAAATGTTATATATTTACTACAATTTAAAAGAGTACACAGGAGCCCTAGCCAGTGGACCAGAGTCATGGGTTCAATTCTGGTCAAGGGCACGTACCTTGGTTGCGGTTTGTCCCCGGCCCTGGTCGAGGTCATGCCCGAGGCAACCAGTCGATGTGTCCCTCTCATGTCGATGTTTCTCTCTCCCTCCTACTCTATCTGAAGATAAATAGAAAAATATCTTCCAATGAGGATTTCAAAAAAGAACAAAAACACAGAATCTCAATCTTTCGTTTCCAGGACTTAAACATTGTTCAAACTCGTGTCTTGAACCATTAGTGTTCAAAAATTCCCACAAGCTCAAAAATCTCATTAGCTAACATTTTAAAGTCCTTTGCCACTTCAACCTTTCACTTCTGCTGGGCATTATAAATCTATCAGCTAACCAGATCAAATAAGCAAGTCCTTGCTCTTTCAAACATCATAAAGACTTAGTTGGTTTATTTGACCAAATAATTATGAGCATTTTGCAAGTTGTAGGATGGCTATGTACTGTCACTGTATACTTTCAGTAATTAACATTAAGCATACTGGCCCAATCTTAACATGGCTGAGGTCAGGAAAGTCGGGTCTCTTTTCAGGTGCTCAATTAACATGAGCTTTCTTCTCTACCATCCTAATTCTAGGTAGCATGAGTTGGAGCCCAAATCTTTTGGAATGACTGGGAAGAAACAACTAGGTCTCCTCCCTTCTCAAACACTAAATAGCTACAAAAATAACTCCTCAGGTCCATTCTCCAGCCAATATGTAAATTTTACATCAGAAGTTGTGCTAAATACGGAGTAGGGTGAGAGGCAGACACTATCATGACAATATAGTATGAAAAATACCATAAACATGGATATACTTGTGGTGAAGGTTTGAGGAATTAGATTTAGGGGTAATTTGATCCAGGTGGTTAAGATCAACTATCACTGTGATATAGTTAGATTTATCTCTTAATTCCTTCTTCGTCATTCCCATTCCAAGAATTACTTGGTTTTCCTCCAACATTCTGTCTCCCTTTCAAACCCAAGTAGTACTGCTCCCCCAGGGAGGAGAGAAATGCTTGACCAGGGAGGTGCCCAGAACTCAAGGAGCTAAATCGAAGTTTGGTGTCCTAAATTTATAAGCAGAGATTTGATACCATCATGTACATACTTTCTCCATGCTGCTGTTGCTAAACAATAAAAAATTATTTTGGGTGGGAAATTTTCCCAGCAATACCCCATTGGGCTCCCATGTAATATATGAGCATATCCATCCCATGCACTGTACAAACTAGCTTGGGACAGTGGCACATGGGGCTGATATAAAGGAAACAGAAGTCTAATACTCTTTCTAGTTCTTACATGAATTTTCAAATACTCATCATTCAAGTTAAAAAGTTTGGTCAGGGGATTTAGAGATGTCCAAGCAAATGTGTTACACATGTTTAATGAAGTGAGTTCTTTTCATTTAAAAAATGCATAAACTGAATCAGATAATATTTAAATAGGCAGACACTACTTAAAACAATTACATTTGAAGAACATATTTTCTTAGGAGTGAAAACATTCTCTTACCATATTTTACTATTTGAAGAAATAAATCCAACATATACACTTATATGAAAAATAACATTCTTTCCCATGTCAACCCTGTGATATAGGTATTTAATTTTAATTTTACATGTGGCAAAAGAGGTACAAAGATTAGCCTTTTTGGTTCACATTGTAGCCAAACTGCTGCTTATGACCTGATTCTAAAAGAGTCACACACCACCCAGTATTAAGGGTCATGATTCAGAGAGATTTTCTGAGATAACTTTTTTGTTGTTAATCCTCACCTGGGGATATTTTTCCCTTGATTTTTAGGGAGAGTGAGAGGGCGGGACGATGAGAGGGAAGGAAGGTGAGACAGTGAGAGAGAGACATTTATTTGAGAGAGACACAGTGGCTGCCTCCCGAATGACCCTGACGGGGGCTGGGGATTCAACGCAACCCAGGTACGTGCCCTTGACCAAAATCGAACCCATGATCCTTCGGTCGCTGAGCCAAAGCTCTAACCACTGAGCAAAACCAGCTCTTTAAGTACAACTCATGTAAAAGAAATGTTTATGCCCAGCTGGTATGGCTCAGTTGGTTGAGCTTCATCCTATGGACCAAGAGGACACCAGTTCAATTCCCAGTTGGGGCACATGCCGTGTTGCGGGCTCAATCTTGGATCATGCAGGAGGCAGCCAATCGATGTTTCTCTCTCACCCTCTCCCTTCCTGTCTCTCTAAAAAAAGTTTATAAATTTATAAGTAAAAAACATAAATTCATCCAGAAAAATAAGAATTTTCCCTCCAAATAAGAAGATTAGAAACTATGTAAATCTGCTATACATGTAACTTAAAATGAAAAAGTATGATAAATTAAAATTAATGTATATTAAAGTATAATAATGGTACTAAATTTTGATAGTTAAACTATCCCCAAAGCTGTTGAATGAATACTATCAAACGTTTTCTTTGTTTATACTTCTGCTGAGAACTGAAGAAGAGACTGAGGCTAAAAGTGACTGAAAATTCTTCACATGGTTTCTTGTGACCACTTGTCGAGGGCAAGGTCGTCTTCTCTAGCGTCCAAAGACAAGAAAAAAGCCTCTGATTTGGAATCAGAACCGATCTGCTGCTCTGCTGGCCACAGCTCGAATATTGCCGTAAACCTTCGATGGAGGATTTCCTGTAGAGGAAACCAAAAAAAGCTTATTTAGCTACAGAAATATACTCACATATATAGAAGCTACTAAATAGTCCACAAAACTCTAAAGAGAACAGGAACATTTTCCATTGGATCTATTTTACATTAACAAAAGGTCTAAAAAGGAAACCGTACTCAATTATTCTAAAAAAAAATTTTTTAAATCCTAGGAGCCAAAATATTTCAAAAAGAAGCTAATCAACCAGACCTGGGCACCAAGGGAGAATCTCAAGTGTTTCCTGAGCAAACTGCTACACTCCTAGAACTCCTGTCAGTTACTGACTCTGCTGTCCCATGGGAACAGGACCCAGTGGATTGTTGACTGGTGCTATCAGCAGCTTCCTGTGCTGCCTAATACTCTGGAATGGCTTTTCTGTGCACCTCATCAGGGGAAGGCAGCAAAAGTTTAAGCAATATAAACCAATAAACCCTCTCTCTTCTCTAGCAGACATGGAATCCAAGCAAAAAGATTCCTTTCTCCCGCCATCAACAAATCATCAAACAACAAGGGCTGGCGAGGGTGTGGAGAAAAGGGGACTCTAGTACACTGCTGGTGGGAATGCAGACTGGTGCAGCCACTGTGGAAAACAATATGGTGTTACCTCAAAAAGTTAAAAATTGAACTGCCATTTGACCCAGTGTTCCCACTTCTAGGAATATACCCTAAGAAACCTGAAACACCAATCAGAAAGAATATATGTACCCCCATGTTCATAGCAGCACTATTTACAATAGCTAAGACCTGGAAACAACCCAAGTGTCCATCAGCAGATTAGTGGATTTAAAAGCTGTGCTACATGTACACAATGGAGTACTATGCAGCTATAAGAAAGATCTCTTATCCTTTGGGATGGCATGGAAGGACCTGGAGACTATTATGCTAAGCGAAACAAGCCAAGCAGAGAAAGACAAATATCACATAATCTCACTTATTTGTGGAATATAATGAACTAAACTAACTGCCGAACAAAATTAACCCAGAGACATAGAGGTGGGGTACAGACTGACAAGCCTCAGAGGAGGGGGAGTTTGTTGGGGAAGAGATAAACCACAGAACTTACATGCATGTAGCATGACCAATGAACATAGACAACAAAGCTGAGGATGGGGTGGGGGGGAAGGGGAGGAGGGTGTCAATGGGGGAAAAATGAGAAACATCTGTAACAAAAACAAATTATTAAAAAAAAAAAAAGATTCCTTTCTTCTCTCGGGTACATATTTGCCAGCCCTCAAGAGTTTCCATTTGCTATCTATTTTTTTAAATTTATCTTTATTGTTGAAAATATTACAGGTGTCCCCGCACATAACTCCTCCTCCCCACTCCCGCCTTCACTGCACTATTGTCTGTGTCTATTGGTTGTCTTCAACATTTCCCTAAGCTGACTTACAAATATGGTTTACTCTTTCCAGAGACAATACAAAGAAATAAATTATTACCCAGGATGAGGTTGCAAATGGCAGTTCTTGCCATCTTGATGTTTTGGAAAGAGCCAAGGATATGAACTTTCCTGCAAGAAAAAAGGTGAGACAAGTTAGCAACAAAATGTATTTCCTTCAACTAAGTTTTGTAATCTAGAAACTGTAAAATCCTGACAGATTCCTAAATAAAGCCTGTGATGATGGTTGCACAACTCTGCAAATATGCTAAGAACTCACTTTGAAAGGGGAAATTTTATGGTGTATGAATTATATCCTAATAAAAATACTAGAAAAAACATAAACTAAAAATAAAGAAATAAACCTAAGATGTTAAATTTTGGTAAGTAATGGCCACCATCCAATTAGTGCTTTCTGTCTGTTAGTGCTTCACACAATGTTCTCATTGAATCCTCACAGGAGCACCATTAGGTAGATGTTACTACCATTTTACAGATGAGAAAAAGGTTTACAAGAAACCTGTCCAAGATGACACACTGGCAGAGCTGAGATTATTGAGTACCAAGATGTGCAAGAAATACTGTACTTAATTAAAATATCTTTGGATTTCAACTGCATAGCTTTCTAAAGATTATCCACATTTCTTCAGTACTCACTGAGGGTCACCCAGACCCTTTCAATGGGTGTTCCTTGCTGAATGACTCAAAGATCAACAAGAAAGCATGTTGTCTTTTCAAACGCATCTTCCAAAAAGCCAGTAAGCCATCCAAAATCAGCAGTGGGAATATCAAGCAGAATACTCTCCCCCAATAGGCTCAGATAGTTCTGAAATTGGGGTAAGAGTGAGGCTAAAAACAAGAGAATCAATTCAAGTCTGTTCAAGATGATCCCCAGGTTTTCTTCCCCATTCTGTGCAAACAGGCAACCACCCCTCTGGAACTCTAAAATTACTGGGGGGGAGGAGAGGAATTGTTTACTGGAGAAGGTGAAAAACATGGGTACCAGGCTCAGCTGCAGGAGAAGCATCATATTAAAAACAGGCAATGTCAAGCAAACATTTGCACACTGAATATTGGGACCTCCAACTGTCCTCCATAACTGGGCTCCAAAAGTCTGGCAGCAGGTACTACTGAACACTGGCCTCACGAAAACCACACCGCACGGACAGCATGGGGAAGAAGAGTACACTGGACTGTGAGAAAGGCTGAGTGTGTGGGATGGCGGGGAGGAGAGGGGTGAAAGATAGCTAAATCCTCATTATGGTACAAAGTCAACAGTGAATCTGGGAAAAAAAAAATCAAGAAGCTGGTATATAAATAAGATAAATAAGATTATTTGGAAATACAGAGATAAATGATTTTTAAGAATGAGCTAAGAGTCGAAAGTGACTCCTCTAAAGAGGAGGAAATGGAGGTAGACAGAAATTTTTGGCTTTTTAAAGTACGTGTGTCTGAAAAAAATAAAATTCTTTAAAATAGAGCATGAAAAATGAGAACACAGAGCCAGCAAGAATAGGTAAAGCATCAATAGCTTTCCTACTAAAACAACCAGAGTAATAGTTGGCATGGAATGTAGGAGCAGTAGTTGGAATGGAATGTAGGTCTCGGTACACATAGGCAACATGACTTCCCATCTGATATACTGCATATATCTGAAAATAGTGCTTTTTAGTTTTATATCTTGCTCACATTATACTGTATTCTGCCAGATTAGCAAGTCATCAAAAATAACACTTATAGGTACATAACAGTCCACTTTATGACTATATCATAATTAATACAAATTGTTCAACTTATGATTTTCCAATTAGCCTATTTACAGCAAAAACTACAACATAGTACATCTCACCCTGGCTGGTTTGGCTCAGCGGTTAGAGCGTTGGCCTGCGGTCTGGAGAGACCTAGGTTCGGTTCTCACTAAGGGCACATAACTTGGTTGCAGTTTTGTCCCCAGCCCTGGTTGGGTTGGGCGGATGGCAGCCACTCGATGTTTCTCTCTCCATCTTCCTCTATCTGAACAAAAAATGGAAAAATGTCCTCGGGTGAGGATAAAAACAAAAACAAAAAACAAAACAAAATAGTACATCTCTTTAATTTTTAGTGTGTAATTCAATTTGTAAAAAGAAAAGGAACACAAAAGATATAAAAAGTAACCTAGCAGAAGTATTCATAATAGCATCCAACTGAAAACCCCAATGTCCATCAACTGTGAATGGATAAACAAAATGCGATACAGCCATACAATGGACTGGTACCTGGAAACAAAATGGGATTACTGATACATTCTGCAAAATGGAAAGACTCAAAACAACATGCTAAGTAAAAGAAGCTACACACCAAAGACACACACTGTGAATTTCTAGGTAAAACCAGAGCGACACAAAGTAGATAGGTGAGTGCCTGGGAAGGGGCGGGGCTGCAAAGGCGTACCAGGAACTTCTGGGGTGGTGGAGCTGTGTGGGTGAAGTGGGATTATAGGACTAGAGTCTCTGCCCCAAACTCACTGAACTGTATTCTCAAAACAGGTGAACTTTATTGTATGTAAATCATACTGAAATAAAGCTGTTAAAAAAATTAGTTCAACTAGTACATTTTAAGTTAACACTTATAAATATACTTATAAAGTTAAGATGTACTATCCATAATTTGATAGCAAATCAGTTACATTTTTTCAGATTTCTAAATTAACAAGTTATTAAGGTTATATATATTTTAAAATGTGATATACATTTCAAAAATTTTGAAATTTGTAGTTCAAAAAAACTGTTCCCCTGGCTCCCTACTCCCAACTCCTAGATTCAACTCATAAAAGATCAAAATCATAATATACCTATCCTCAGGTAAAGAGGGCCACCCATGTAGTATTAGTTATTCTTGAAGTATAAAAAAACAGTTGAGCCCCTCAGTTTAGAGCAAAGGTGAGATGATTACAAATTAAATTATTTCTGGATTCAGTAGCAGGTAGCTCCCTCCTCCTCTCAGTCAACTGCTTCATCTCCCAACTTCATGGCATTATATACTCTGAGCCATCTGCCAGTAATTCCAACCTGGCAACGGAGCAGCTTCGCCCTCAGAGGGGTAATCCCAGCTTGACTTCCCGACCCTTATCTTAAACCCGTATCATCTTATTTATGTTCACATGTAACCATTTTCTCATTTTCACTCAATGTGCACTACTCACCTTCCTTATGAAAGGCCTTCATATATATGTATATTTTTATTCATATATATTTAAATGGAAAGCCTCACAATGGCATTTAAAACATCTCCTCCTTGCTCTCCCCTACTGAATAGATTCCCCTGAGATATTCAATTTTTACCTGTCATATAATTTCTTTTAATAGTGGTTCTATATATTTCCTTCATTGCTAATTGAGGGGGAAAAGCTATAATTTCTAAGGTTTTCCTAACTAAATCTGTTTTCAAAGTAAGAAACTATCTATTCATCCAGAACCATATGCTGACAAAGATTTAGTAGCAACATTATGCATAAAATACAAACTTTATGACCTTCTGAAACAAGCAACAGAGCAAATATAAATTATGACAATAATGTTCTCAAGATCGCATACTTACACATCAGCTAAAACTATCCGCGTCCGTGTCACATTCTCTATGGTGAACTTCGTCTTTCCTCCTTTGCCAGCGATTCTCCCTATTGCCCTCGACAGGTGGTCTCCCTTTAGGGGCTTCACTAAATGAGAAAAGCAAGACCTCAAGAGGCAAGCCATTCCAGTGCACCACCCACTTCCAATAAAGTTTAATCACTAATGAAATTTTCCTACTAACAGACAAAGTATATATTTTTTAAAAAGCTGCTAATAATACAGCTCAATTGATGCTATAGGAAAGCTGAGAGTCACACACAACACACAGTCAGCAACACGAAAGTACAGTATTTCATAATGAAAGACCACCAGATACTCACCATCTGTAATTTCAAAAGACTCTAAGAAGAGGTCATCCAATCGAATGAGTGCAAGTGCGTCCTACAGTATAAAAATAAATATGAAGCCCTTTTACATAAATCCCTGAGAATGAGTGTCAAGCTAAAATTCACAAATTGTAAAACCAGAAAACTCAAAAGAAAAAACCCCACCTGGCCAGTGTTCCAAGTGGTCAGAGCACAGGCCCATGCATTCAATGTAAGGGCAAGAATTGGGTCGGGGATTCATTCCAGGGCCCGTTGGGACGCATGCAGGAGGAAAATAATCGATATGTGTTTCTCTCTCTCTACTCCTTCCCTCCTGCCCCCTCCCTCTCTCTAAAAACCAACGGAAAAAATATCCTCAGGTGAGGATTAACAAAAAACAAACAAGCAAACAAACCCAAAAGAGCCTCAATCATTGAAACACTCCTGTTGATTATTTTTCAAGCTCCCATTTCAGATGTCATGAAATCACTCACCTCCACCTGAAACCCGAGAATGAAGGCTTTCACAAAATCCGCTGCTTTTGTCAGAGCACTAACATCCTTGGTTTCCTTACAAGTCTGTTTTTTAAAAAGGCACAGAATACAGGTGGGGATGAAAAAGATACTATTCTAACAACACTAGAAATGACCTTTTCCTTTATTGTAACTTCCTTCACCATCACCCTTCCCCAGGGTAATTCTCCATGGCCCAGTTTTTAGAGAGGTAAGTACTGTGTTTCACTTGCAAAACAAAACTTTCCCAGCTCCAGAGGTAGACAGTTCCACTAAAAGACTGTCAAATGACTGACAGTACTCCATCACTGATCTGACTTGGGCATTAACAGTAAGATTTCTCTGGCACAGCCGGAATGCATGCCGCTGAAGGATTTCAACTTCCTCAGACCATCCCATCAATGCATCAAGGACCAAGCCAGTCATCTTCTCTTTCAACACAGTCTTTCTGCTGGTTATGATATAATCTCCTGACTTCAATAACTTATATGTTGATGTTTCCCACAGCAAGAAGTCCAGTACTAACTACCATGAATGGTTTAAGCAGGGATCCTGCCCTCAAAGAGTTCATTTAATAATCACAGAAAGAGCAGCTATTCATTAAATGCCTACCACTATAAATGACATGCACTACTACAAAGGTGCTTTACGTACTATAGTTCTAAGCTTCATGACAACCCTGAATACTAAGTGATATAAAGACTGGTATGTTTGAGACAACTAAAGCACCAAAAGGTGAAAAAGGTAACATTCGAACACAGGCTTGATTCCAAAGCTGTTATTTCCACTCTCCCACACAGACTCACAATCTGAGACCACATATTTGACAATATGAGACCATACAGGGTTGTGTAACAGAACATTTAAAACCAGATCCCTGTCTCAATCCTAGATATGACCTTGGGCAAGTCTCACAGATACTCTAGGTCTTAAATGTTCTCATCTGTAAAATATGGAGGCCAGAGCAGGAGATCTTGAGGGGTCCCTACTAGCACCAGGACACTTACCAGCTTGATGACTTTGGCAAGGTATCCTTTGACCCTCAGTTTCCCTACATCTCTATGATAGGGATATGTCATCTACCTCACAGGGCTGTCCTAACAACCAAAATGACATAGTGCATGCTAAAGCACCACTATGTAGAGTCTGGCATATAACAGCATCAACAGTGTCTTTGGAACCCAAATTAATGATGGAACAATACTAAGACAGCTAAGCACAATAAAAGTTTAGGCACTGAAGGCCTGCCAGAAAAAATGGTCTAATCGTAAAGGAGAAAGAACTTGAGCTAGACCCTGAAAAAATGAATGGAACTGAGATAGGAGGACAAAAGGCATGGGGAGAAGAGCGTTAGAGAGGAAAGCCACCCATACGTATGGACATGAAAATGTTCAAAAAGGTGGTGAGATGAACTTCGGACTGGGACTCCTACCTGAAAGGGAAGTTCAGTCAAAAACTTAACTCTTATCCTTCAGAGACACTGAAGATACCAGAGTATCATAATAAAAACAGTGTAGTCTGGGAAAATTAATCTGGCTCTGGTATAGTGGATGGAGTGGTGAAAGATAATATAAAGCAATGAAGGAAGAGAAATCTGTGAGGAAACAAAAAGTTTCCAGGCATGAAACCATAAAAGCCTGAATGAAAGTGGCAAGGAAGTCTACTGTCAGGTTCTCTATTTTAAACTTTACCAACTATTTAGAGTAGTGCCTCTCAGTTTTATTCCATTAATATTATTCCAGTCCCTCAGGGGAGATAAGTCTATACTAGTCCTGACGACAGTATAACAATCCTCAAAAGGGAAGATTATAAGTAATTTTGGTGTTTGATCCTGATACAAAATTGGCACTCAGAAAAAACTCAGTCAATTAATTTTGATTGTCTAACCACTGGGCAGACACCATGGAATGACACCGATATGTATATATGCATACATATAAAACTTTTACTTATTCCTAAAATAATACATTTTCCTTCAAAATAATACCATTAAAATATATAGTACCTGTACTGCACCAGGTGCTTTAGCTCCTTGTTTACAAACTTCTGTTTATGACCTCTTTACTTGGCCTTTTCTCAGTTCAACACAGAACGTTATAAAAAAATATGCACAGGCATAGCCAGTATTCTGGTATGATCTCAGAGTCAACTGATGAATTGAACTAATATATGTGTTAAATGCAGACTCTGAAGGCATTTGAGAAGTTCAAATTCACTCAATTACAAAACTGGAAGAAAACCATTTAACAAAACAGGTCTATTCATGCACTTTCATCCCTGTAAAAGAAACCCTAGTATATTTGGAAATGGTTGACATTCTCCTTACCCTGATTTCTACATTCCTTGATTTCAAGTTAAAGCGTATCTGAAGTCCCAAATGTTCTACAATTGGAGTAAATATCTTCATCCAGTTCTCTTTTAATGGCGTGTATCTGTTAGCTGGGACTGGAATCTTCCTTGTTTCTGCTTTCCCATCCTGCAATAAAAGGACACACAATCGAGATGTCTGAAGGAATGGCGGTGCAGTTGTAAATTGACAACTGATGCACAAGAAAAGCATCCTTCATCTGAACGAATTAAACTTGAGCGGAGTCGTTTCACTAAGAACTTCCCGCCAGAAAAGTCGCTGCAGCTTCAACATGAGCCAGAGACCAGCGACTTGCCCTCCCTCTGGCCCCCATCCCGGGGTTTTGTCCCGGGATCCCGCCGGTACCAGGAATCCGTCCCCGGAGAGGGGCGGGAACACGGGCCGCTTCGCGGGCCGAGCCTCCTCTGTGTCCATACGGCCCGCATCTCCGCCCTCCGCCGCCGAGGACAGCTCTTCAGCTTGCCGTTTCTTCGCCCGCCGGCCTCCCTTGCGGGAGACCTGGGCGAAACCGTCCTCGGCCCCGGCACTCTGTGCCTCCATTGCGCTGGCCATCTTCAGGAATCTCAGCCGCAGCAGGCGCTTCCGGCTGGAACACGTGCGGTGTTGCACCGCGCAAGCGCACCACGCAGGCGCCAGTGTCCGCCTACCAGGCCGAGGGCTCCGCCCCCTTTCCTAAGAAGTCCCCACGCAGGGGACCTGTGCTTGCTGGGAAGGAAAGAGGGCTGTCCTAAAATATGCCGTTTTCTTATGGTCTCCCTCTGGCTCTCCACTCACAGCCTGAGCACTTTGTGACCTGTTATCTGTATATGTGCTAAAGGCGACGAACAATTTCGTGCCCCCGATGAAGAAAAATCTTGTGTAATTTTAGTAGTGCATCTGGTATTATCTGAGACAACTAAGTCCAACTTGCTAGGGCGTCAGGGGGCGAGTACGGCAAGCGGGAGGAACAAATTGACGTTAATGTTTGGAGTCTGGTTTCCAGGTTAGGGTTTTGTCGGGCTCCGAAGTGCCCGTTAGCGGAAGAGAAATCGGCCGGACCATGTCGGCCTTCGAGAAGCCTCAGATCATTGTCCATATCCAGAAGGGCCTCAACTACACGGTGTTTGACTGTAAGTGGGTGCCCTGCAGCGCCAAATTTGTGACCATGGGCAACTTCGCACGGGGCACCGGCGTCATTCAGCTCTACGAGATCCAGCACGGGGACCTAAAGCTGCTTCGGGAGGTGGGTGTCATGTCGAGATTGCCCAGTTCCAGGAGGTGGGAGTGCCGTTGGGGGCGAGTTCGGATTCTGGGGGTTCTGCATTCCTTTCGGCCAGTGCCTTCGGCCAGTGTCCCTCAGAAGCACCGCTTGAGCCGCGCAGGAGTAGCGAAGTTGATCGCAGATAGAGGAATACGACGAAAACGCTTTCGGTCGAGTCCTGAATTCTCGGCGGGCTCGTTTATCCGCGCCCTCCCGGCCCTTTCTCCGCGACCCCTGAGTCCAGCACGAGGGTTCTGGGAGAGCAGTTACAAATTCGGATCCAAATTCGAGGCCCTTTGGAGCAGTGCGCAGTTTGTGGAGGGTCTGTTAATGGGCCCTTGTTAGTAAAATGCTTTTTCATGCAAGCAGAGCTGAAGCTGGCTCCTGTATGCCTGCCGTGTAATTACAGGAGACCCCCCCCCCCCCAACATTTATTCTTGCAACAAGTATCAGTTGATCGCCAGGTATTCCCAGGCGTGTGAATGACAGTGTCCCCGATCTCAGGTGGTTTTCTAATGGGAAAGAAAATCAGTTAAATAATCAAACCAATCACCCAAATAGAAACCAAGATGAATTCTCAAACATAAAAGAACTCGGTTCTGTGAGAGTGAAACCAGATTTCGGATGAGTAGGACCTATCTAGGCCAAACTGGGAGTAGAGGAGGTTTCCAGTGAAAACGGTCTATTTGGAAGCCCAGAGATGGGAGAAAGATTATCTTATTAAGAAACAGGAGTGGGCCCTGGCCGGTTTGGCTCAGCGGTTAGAGTGTCGGCCTGCGGTCCAGAGAGACCCGGGTTCGGTTCCCGCTAAGGGCACGTACCTTGGTTGTGGTTTGTCCCCGGCCCTGGTTGGGTCATGTGGGTGGCAGCCACTCGATGTGTCCCTTCACGTCGATGTTTCTCTCTTTCTCTCTCTCCCTCCCACTCTATCTGAACAAAACATAGAAAAATGTCCTTGGGTGAGGATAAAAAAAAAAATTAATTAAATAGAAGAAACAGGAGTGGTAAGCAAGGACCAAAAGTTGCAAGATCTTGATGTCATTTAAAATTTATGCCTTTGTTTTTTTCCCCTAAGAAAAACATGACATCCTTGAAGAGCTTTAAGCAGTGTGTGGCATGATCAAGTTTACAAGTTTTGTAAAGATCACTAGTGAAAGAACTTAAGAATAATGTTGTTAACTAACATTTTTATACCTGTTTACAGTTTTTAAAATTCCTTGATTTGGGTTGCCTGAAAAAAAAACATACTCAGGTGTTTAGGGATGTAATAGACTACAGAGAAGGTTGACAACTCCAGGAATCAAAAGCTATAGAGAGAATCTGCTTGGAGGAGTCAGAGATTAGTAAAGGATGAATATAGCCTCTATAGGAAAGTTTAGATTAGAAGGTAAACTGGGCCCCATCCCACTTTAAATTTCTATGGGTGCCAGTTTTCGTGTTCACTTTGTCTTCACTAGTCAGGGACTTTGCTCAGTAAACATGGCCTGTTCTTTTCTATCTTTCCTTAAGTTGTTCACCACTTAGCCTTCAGTCAGTCACCTGTTGCTGTTCTAAGGTCCAGTTCAGATTATTTGACTTATGAAGTCCCTTTCTGAACCCCACACTAAGTAACTTTTCTTACTCTGCATTCCTGTGGTACTTACTATCTGTCCCTGAAATATATCACTCTGTCCCATTTATCTTTAGATTGTAAACTCCTGGAGAGTAATGATAGTGTCTTTCTTTTTTCTTTTAAGATTTTTTTTTATTGATTTTTAGAGAGAGAGGAAGGGAGAGGGAGAGAGAGAAATGTTGGTGTGAGGGCAGAACATGAATTGCCTGCCTCCTGCACTCCCCTTATTGGAGATGGAGCCAGAAACCTGGGCATGTGTCCTACCTGGGCGAGTGTCCTGACCAGGACTCAAACCAGCAACTTTTTGGTGCTCTGAAGGATGCCCAACCAACTGAGCCATACTGTCCAGTGCAATGTCTTTCTTTAATATGGAATGTAAGGAGCAGTAACTCAATAAATTACTTGTTAAAAGAATGAGTAAAATGTATGTCTGTAAAGGATGTAACTTGGGTATTTTATTTTTTTTCTTTCAATTTTATTTTATATTGGTTTCAGGTATACAGCTTAGTGATTAGACAATCGTGTACTTAATGTAATTTGGGTAATGTAAATATTGATTTATACATTAAATGATTGGGGTCAGGGGTTTAAACAAATGGGAAACATTAGAATAGCAGAAATAAATTTAAAGGTGAAGTGTTAGGAACAAATACCAGTCAAAGCTCAACCAGAGAGCATATATAGACGTGACTTCTTATACGACTGTATGATTTGGCCCTGGCCGGTTTTGCTCAGAGGTTAGAGTGTTGGCCCAAGAACCAAAGGGTCAAGATTTCAATTCCTGGTCAAGGGCACATACTTGGGTTGCAGGTTCAATCCCCAGGCCTGGTTGGGGTTGTGCAGGAGGCAACCAATTGATGTGTCTCTCTCACATCGATTTTTCTCTCTCTCTCCCCCTCCCTCCCACTCTATCTAAAAATCAATCAATGGTGAAAACATCCTCGGGTGAGGGTTAACAACAACAAAAAAGACTATGGTTTGTGTACATTTCAGAAATATATTTGTTCCAAAAAGTGAAATAGTGCCTTTTGTCTATTCTAGAGATTCTGGAGGATTCTAACTAGTTTTTAAAATAAATGTGCCTTTTTGCAAAAGTAATATTTTAATGATAGAACATTTTAGAAATATAGATTTTAAAAAAGAGGAAGATTAATATCACCCATGATCTCAACTCTACGAGTAACCACTTTTTATGCTTCACCTATATCTTTTGGGTGTTCTTTTTTCTGCCATAAAATATCTATTGAGAACCTATTATTTCAAGGTACTATGTTGAAGAAGGACCAACAGTATTTGAATGATGAGTTCTTACTCCTAAAGAGCCTGCTATCTAAAGAAAGGATTAAGAAAATGCAAAAACATTTAAGAACTTAACATTGTGTTTGGCTGTGATGATGCAGTGGGGAAGAATATAGGTTAAGTACAAGCTCAGTGATTCTCAACTCAATGTGCATGGAGATCACCTGAATGTGTATTGCTATTGTTTGTGTGTGCTACTTACTTTTTAAAAATATATTTTTATTGATTTTTTTAGGGAGAGAGAGACAGAAACATCGATCAGCCGCCTCCTGCAGGCCCCCTCACTGGGGAATGAACCTGCAAGCCGGGTATGCGCCCTGATCAGGAATCAACCAGGACCTCCCAGTCCATGGGATGATGCTCAGTGCACTGAGCCACACCGACCGGGCGTGTGTGTGTGTGTGTGTGTGTGTGTGTGTTTTAAAATATGCGTGCCTTGGTCCTATCCCAAGAAGTTCTGCTATACTGGGACTCATATCTAGACTATAGTGCGCTCTGGACATCAGTATATTTTCAGCTTCCATCAGGTGATTCTTTTTTTTTAAATTGTTTTTTTTCTTTATTGATTTTAGAGAGAGAGAAAGGGAGAGGGAGAGAAACATCGATGAGAGAGAACATCGATTGGCTGCCTTCTGCATGCCGCCCACTGGGGATCAGGCCCACAACCTGGGCATGTGCCCTGACCGAGAATCAAACTGGCGACCTCTTAGTGCATGGGTCCATGCTCAACCACTGAGCCACACCGGCCGGACTTCCATCAGGTGATTCTAAAGAGTGTCAGGGCTGACTACAATGGGGCTAGATGAGTAATTTATTAAAATATTAGGAAACATACTAGATTCCATCATTGTGGGACCACCTCAAGTCACGTACTCCAAAGACTGTACGTCCGAGATAAAAAAGGAAGAAAATGGGTCTTTTCTGGTGCCTTCCTTATGTTGTCACTAAAGATAGATGGGGAATGAGGGCAAGGCCTCCATGTACAGTTGAGCAATTTGTTGTATCACCCATGGGTGTTTGGCCAAGAGTTCAGTGAGAGCTGAAATCCATCTCTCTCATCCAGCCTGTCAAAGGCACCTTTTTTCTTTCTTTTTTAAAATCCTCACCCGAGGATATTTTTCTGTTTATCTTCAGATAGAGTGAGAGGGAGGGATAGAGTGAGAGGGAGGGAGAGAGGGAAACATCTTGTGAGAGGGACACATTGACTGGTTGCCTCCCGAATGACCGTAACCAGGGCCAGAGACAAACCACAACCGAGGCACATGCCTTTGGCTGGAATCAAACCTGAGACTCAGTGGTCCGCAGGCCAACCCTCTGAGTGCTGAGCCAAACTGGCCAGGACAAAGGCACCTTTTTTCTAATTGGCATAAAGGACTAGGGGTAGCCCTGAAAAATGGAATTATAGTTGGGGATGTTTACACTTTAAAATTCAGTAATAAGTTAATACAGTTCTTTTTTAGCCCCAGTGGCACTGAATTCACTGCTTGTTTGCATTTGGTTGACTAAATCTTTTAATGTTAATTAAGTAGTGCCAGGATGTGGAGGAGGAAATACTGACAAGCTGTACTAGACCCACCCACAGACAGAACAAAAATAGATCTCAGTAGAATTATCCATCATGGGCTTCTATCATGGTAACTCATTGTAGCAAAGAGAACCACCATCTGGGTCAAACACGGCCATCACGGTGGTCTTTTTCACTATCATATAGCAAAAGTCAATATCTACTAATTATCATTGTGGGTCAAATTTCACAAAATAGAGCTTCATTTTTTTAACGGTTTTCTAGCAAGAAAAATTTTAAGTAACCACTGAATTCTTTTAATCTCTTTTTAAAAGATAAAATAAAAAATTGGCATTTTTTATGAGCTATAAAAATTACCTTTATTCCAGCATCTTCTCTTAATTTAGCTACTGTTATGATTTTCATGAATGTCTGAGGAAAGAGAAGACACCCCTGCTTTTAAAAGCCCGTTTGTCAGAGTAGCTTAGCCCTTCTGAGCAAAGTGCAGTCATCCTTGGACAGATAAGATGTTTATATGCTTGAGTTTATTTGTTAATATATTTATATATTTTGAGTCTAATTTGATTCTTGCACAACAAGTACCATGTATTTCTGTCTTGTAAAGATACGAATGAAGGTAAAAATAAAAACCAAAGGACACAAATCTGAAGGTTTAATTTATACCTGAACCATTTACTTCACAATCCATTTCGGTATTGGAATATTTCTTTGGTGTTTCTAATGACTCTGAAGTTTACAGAATGGGGGCTCCGTGATAAAGTGTTTATTTAGTTGATACACATGTAGGTCTGGAGTCAGCCTAGTTTGGTAGAAAGGGCTTAGAGACTACCTGGTTCTGGGACCTTGGGCAAGTCTAGTCCTCTGAACCTGTTTCCTCTCTGGAAAGGGTGTTCTAAACCCTTAGTTTGCAGTTGAGTGTGTTGGAAAGAGAAGGGATGGTCTGGTCTAGAAAATATCTAGAACACCATCTGATATATAGGTGTTCAATATATGGATGCTGTTTTCATTATTGCATATATATGACACTGGAAACTATGTCATGTGAAAATATGGCAGGAGAAATGGGAACATGAACTCTAGCAGTGGTTTCTCCCTCCCAGCACTAGAAAAGAGATTAATAGATGATCATTTATACTTTCATTCAACAAATATTCAGCACCTATTAGTGTTAGTGTTGAACAAATTGGACAAGGCCCCATTCTCATGGTACTCATTCTAGAAAGGGAGAAGATAGATCATTGAAGGAGTTAAATAATTTTATTGATAGGTGAAATAAAGATTAAACAGGGCATATGATAGTGATTGGGAGTTCCACTTCTGATTGGAGGGGCAGGGAAGGCCTCTTAGAGGTAACATTTAAACCAAAATCTGAATTGGGAGAAGGAAGACGTGATCTGAGGGAACAGCAGCCCAGGCCGTGGGAAGAGTAAATGCAGATGCCCTGTGGTAGAAATGACTTTGGTATGTCAGGGAGAGAAAGCCACAGGTGTGGCTGGAGTGCAGTAGAGGGAAGGGAGAAGCCGGAGAGATGAAGTCCAGATTTCAAAGGGTTCATACATTTTGTACATGACAGGCTATGGTGCTACTCCTGTGAGTCTGTGCCTCTGGATGGAGATACATTTTATTTCATTCCATTCCATTTACAATAAATATCTACTTTCTAATGTATGCAGGGATGAAGTGGAACTAGTATCCGGCCTGTTGTATAAAAGATATACATGGCATATGTAGTTCTCAGTTTGGTTTCTTCTAAGGTAGGAGCTCTCTGATGTGTTCAGGTGTCAGAACATCTGGACATCATGTTGCTGATTTTGGAATATCATGAAATACTGGAATAGGTAGTTCCATCTCTGCACAGGGAAGGGTTTTTCCAGTAGGAAAATCTGACAATATTATATATATTCTGATCTTTACATCACAGGAAATTGCTTATCCTCTATTCCAGGTTTTCTTGTTGTTGTTCATTTGCTAGTATTTTCTAACAGACAAGCTAAAAAATTATTGAAGAAACTTAAATTTGAGAAAAAAATCAGCTTTCTTATTTATGATGGTACCTGTGCTCACTTTGGCAACACATAAACTAAAATTGGAACACTACAGAGAAGATTGACATGGCCCCCGAGCAAGGACGGCATGCACATTCATGAGCGTTCCATATATTTTTTTAAAAGAGGAAAAAGAATTATGTTTGTACTGGAAGATCAGTGTGTTCCAGGAGCATGGCTTGAGATTATTCCAAAGGGCCCAAAGGCACAAGTTAGGTAAAGAAATAACTTAGGGAACAAAGTTTGTGCTTCCCAAGTTCATATTACCAGCAATAAAATCTTAGAAGAACAGTGTGCTCACTGTAGGCACTGACAAGTAGAAGTTAGCTTGCGCCTCTTCCATGGCCCAGGAGGAAGAATGGAAACCCCGTCGCAGGCTCCAGGGGTAGAGTGGAGTTATGGGAAGCAGAATGCTTCAGCTGGTGGAAGAGAAGAAATGGGTGACTAGTCTTCCCAGTACTTGTCTGAGAAAGATTTTTCCAAAGTTCTATCAGTATAGGATGCTGCTCTCCATGGCTCCTAATCCTCTGAGGCCCTGGAACCATATTCTTGCCCAATAGGGCCCGCCTGCTTCTTAGCGAGAGGGCTGTTTTCACCCTCTGCCTCAACCTGTGGGAGCCATTACCAATGACTTAGAGCTGGCGGAGACCCAGGCCCACTGTGAGCACATGGGAGAAGGACTGGGGAGCTATTTCATCACTTGGCATAAGCTGGAACTCTGAATTAGCTTAACCATAGAAATTGTGTGCTAACAGTTATTAGGTGCTATATCACTATTAACATGTTGTTTCAGGTACTTTTGTTTGAGGAAAGGGGAAGGACATAAGTGGTTTGAAAACTGTCTACTTTGTTAAATTGACAAAAAGTTTAATCCTCTGTGTCGCCCCATTGTAAGATACTCTTCTTCCTAAAATCGGAAAAATAGCTGAAATAATATCAAACTTATGCAGTGAATAACTCATATCGGATTACCTGTGCATTAAAAAGAAAAAAAACTTAACATTCTGTGGTTTTGTGCTTCTCATCAATATGGTCTTTTACAGCCATGTTATTGTCCATGAATAATTTTGTTTACTGGAAAATTCCAAGGAGGCTGTGAATGCTTTATTTTATACCTAGCTACATAGTAACTGCTAATTTATCTAGACCCCAAACCTTTGTTTCCAAAGCTTTGTACCATATAACAGTATCTTTTGAATCATGAAAGAAAAGTTTAGTTATAGTTTGTATGACATGAATTTTATCTTCTTTTTCTTTGAAAGTTGCTAGGCATACCCTATGTGGAAATGACCAGCCAAACATTGAAAGTGGCAGGGAAATAATTTTTTTAATTATATGAAACAGGCCAGCCCTTAAAGGGAGTGATGAAGATTGGCTCAGGGACTGAAGGGTTACAAGGAGAGATGCCCTAGCAACTGGAGAACTCTGCAGAGGAAAAAATGTTTATCCAGATATATTAAGTGAAAAAAATCAAGACAAAGGACAAGATATAATAATCCTCTTTATATTAAAACAAAATGATGTGTGTTTGTAAATGTATAGATAGAGGTTTAGAAGGATGAGGATTACTTCTGGGAACTGTCAAAGGAAGATTCACTTTTTGCTCTTTGGTCTTGTTTGAATTTTTTAAATATTTTTTATTGACTTTGTTTTAGAGAGAAGGGAAGGGGGAGAGAGAGAGAGAGAGAGAGAAACATCGATGTGAGAGAGAAACATCGATCAGCTGCCTCCTGCATGCCCCCAACCAGGGATTGAGCCTGCAATGGGGACTTGAACCAGGACCTCTCAGTCCATGGGACCACGTTCAATCCACTGAACCACGCCGGTCGGGTGGTATAGTTATTTAACTAATGTGATTATATATAACACTTGGAGACAGTAGCTTTTTAATTTTTTGTTTTTATCCTCACCCAAGGACATTTTTGCATTTATCTTCAGATAGAGTGGAAAGGAGAGAGGGAGGAAGAGAGAGAGAGAAACATCAGTGTGAGAGAGACACATTGAGTGGTTGCCACCTACATGACCCCAACCGGGACCGGGGACAAACTGCAACCAAGGTATGTGCCCTTAGCAGTAACCCAACCCAGGACTCTGGTCCATGGGCCAATACTTTAACCGCTGAGCCAAACCAGCCAGGGTGCCAGTAGCTTTTTAAATGAAAGAAACTGAAAAGGTTGGCTAATCCATACTAATAGCAGTGCCTTTGGTACACACAGCTATGCAGATTTCTGTGCATTGAAAGGGTCCCACAGAGAATAGGATATAAACATTCTCAGTTTGAGTGTTCTGAAGGGAAAACTATGAGACTCATAAACATTTTTGTTCCTGTAGCCATCTGGAAAGGACAGAATCTTCGTTATGTTCTCATTTCTACAGAGGATCTTAAAGAAGAATACCACATTAAATGCTGAAATTTTCATATTTGCAAACCAATGGAGATGGTAGAGTTGTCAGCATTTGTATGTCTCATTAGCGAGATGAGAGGAAAAGCAAAATTAAAACTCATTATTTTTGACAGTCATATACCTTTAAACTATAGAAGAATGACTAAAGGGAAAGCATGATAATTTTTATCAGAAAACGTTTTAATTGCTTTTTATATTATGTGCTTTATTTAAATCCCATAATAAAGCTATAAATATCATGTATTATAAATAGCTTACATAAATAATGTATCCTCTCTCCCTCCCTTTTATCAAGATTGAAAAGGCCAAACCCATTAAATGTGGAACATTTGGTGCAACATCTTTACAGCAGAGATATTTAGCTACTGGAGATTTTGCTGGAAACCTTCATGTATGGTAAGATTATTTAATTAGTATTAAGACATAAAATACACAATTTCTTTGATAGTCTTGTTACTCTTCCTCTGAAAGAGAATTCTAATTTTTCTTGGGGTATTTCAAATAATGTTGTCAATATTTATTTCTACATATGCTGTTTGGCTACCATTTAATACCTTGTATTTGTAAATAAAGGGCTATTGCCCTCCACCTTGAAGAATACAATATATAGCAGAACACATATATAACATGGGGAAAAGTTAGATATTAATTGTGTGCATTTCAGCAATACAGTTGGCATTACGGAATGATACACTGAGTTTTTACTTGTTTAGTTTTTTTAATGTAGAACTCCCAATTAATTTAAATTTTTTAAATGTGTTAACTAACATCTAAACACAACTTTTTAGGAACACATCTATTGAGCAAATCAAGATAAACCTATTTTGAATGAGCAAAATCACAATTGTGCCAAATGCTTTCTATTTTCATGTTTTACCTAATGTTATTTCCTTATATTTAAATCAGAGTTGAGTGAATTCAGATTTCTCTGTGGTTACTTTTCAGGAATATTTCTTAATCATCTGAAGCACACAGTAATGTTCTAGAGAGAACCTATCTTCCCTACCTCATGTTTTCTGGTTTGACCTTTCTTGATTTCTCATGTAGAATCTGCTACTTTGCAATTAAATTACTTTGAACTATTTATCTGTCTTAGAGTCCTAATATAAAACATAATGAAGGTATTTTAATTTATCCTTGCTTTAACTGCTTAATTATTAAGTTAGTATTTATTACAATGCATTAGTTTTTATATGCTGTGCCATATACTTTCAGAGAAATTGGGAGAGAGACCAATATGAATGTTATTTTTAAAAATAAATATATTTCAGCCCTGGCCGGTTTGGCTCAGCGGTTAGAGCGTCGGCCTGCGGTCCCGAGAGACCCGGGTTCGGTTCCCACTAAGGGCATGTACCTCGGTTGCAGTTTGTCCCCGGCTCTGGTCAGTTGTGCGGGTGGCAGCCACTCGATGTGTCCCTTCACGTCGATGTTTCTCTCTCTCTCTGTTCCTCTCTCCCCCTCCTACTCTACCTAAAACAAAAAAAAAAAAATGGAAAAATGTCCTCGGGTGAGGATAAAATAAATAAATAAATAAATAAATAAATAAATATATTTCAGCACAAGAATATGGAACAAATGTAACTGTTGACTTTCTTCCTGACTTATTTTTATTGATAAGTCTTATAATTTTATGTTTTAAAAAATGTTTTTTTTTAATCTGTAAAAATAGTAAAATAGATATTTAAATAGAACCTTAATCCTGTTTAGTCTCTTGATTCTTTCATAATAATGCTACAATGATAAACATCATGTCTAAACTAAGTTGAACTATCTCAAATTTGCAAGTGAGATTTTACTAAGTTTGGCTCGTTAATAAGGTAGGATTACATATGCAAAGCTAAATTTATTTATTTTTTTAGTGTAAGTTATTGAAAACTGACATGTTGAAGAGAAATGTGGATAGAAGCTTCAAAAGAAAAGCAAAAGAAGGGCGGCAGGCAAGAAAAGGGATGTATTAACATAACCTCCTTGAGCCATTTCTCATCCAGTCATTTTGTGTAGACTCAAGCACACGTAGTAGTAGGTACTTTCCTGCATTTCTTCCTCTTAACCTAGAATAAGACAGAATTTGACCAAAATATATAACTAGATGAAAATCAATATGGAATTCAGTGAGAAAATAATCCATTACAAAGGGGAAAATGTGTACTGAGTATGCACTACTCATATAATAAAATAAAGCTCAGAAGATCTCAAGATGAAACTACTAAGGCCTACTTTGGACACATTCTAAATCCTTTAAATCTACTCTATGTTTAAAGCAGTAATTATCAGACTTCCGTCAGCAAAGAGATCCTTATTAATTACATCTGGGGAGGAGCCAGTAAATATACATTTACTAATAAGCAGACCTGGTAATTCATGTGCAGAGGCCCTAAATAGATCATCTTTGAAGAACACTAAGTAAGGTAGACTCAGGAGTTTGAATTCCAAGTTGAATAATGACCGTTCTCATTGAGGGCTTAAAAGATGCTAAAGTGGTGAGAAGAAATTGGGAGTATTTGTATAAATTCTTAGCAAAACTCTTATTTTTAAACAAAAATCTAAATATGATATGCATTATATTTTAGTAGTGTACTAAATGTTTAGGACATGTGGTGTAAGTAAGAAGCTGTCTTCTGTGTTTAGGAATTTGGAAGCTCCAGAAAACCCAGTATATTCTGTAAAGGGCCATAAAGAAATTATAAATACTATAGATGGTGTAGGTGGACTCGGAATTGGGGAAGGAGCACCTGAAATTGTGACTGGCAGCCGAGATGGTAAGTCAAAGTATTTTAATTTTTTTCTAAAAGATAAATCTCTAGCCCTGGCCTGTGTGGCTCAGTTGGTTGGGCATCATTCTGTGCACCAAAAGGTTGTTGGTTCGATTCGAGGTCCAGGCATATGTCCAGGTTGCGGGTTTGATCACTGGTTGGAGTATGTGCCAGGAAGCAACCGATAGATGTCTCCCCCTCTCCCTCCCCCCACCCCCTCCCCTCTTCCTCCTCCTCCTCCTCTCTCCCTTCCTCTCCCCCTAAAATCAATAAAGACATTTTTTTAAAAAAAAGGCAAATCTCTATGCAACAGTATATCTTCTCTATGTGGAAATTCTGGGTAACCTTGACCCACTAAATCTAACAATACACTTTTTTAATAGGCAAGTTTGATTGCATATCTGTAAATTGTTTCATTCTTAAGTATTTTGAGATAGAAGCAAAGCAGTTCTATTTTAGTTTTGAGCCAGTTCAACTACTAACCACCCTAGTTTCCTGTGAAGGATTTAAAATTTCTTTATTGGTTTTTGAGGCAGCTGACAATATAATGTGGGTGGCAGCTTTTCATTTTCTTTTTTTAAAAAGCAGGATCAGTACTTGTGAAAATTGTCAGGTTGACAGCTGGTTGAACACTGAAGTTCTGTGATCCTTCTGCTGAGCGTTGTAGAAAGTTCCAAGGGTACCAACTCTGCTTTTCCACTCTGCGGTGACTAAAAAGGGATAGGTCTTGCTCTGGCCAGTATGGTTCAGCTGTTAAGAGCATTGACCTTCGGTCCAGAGAGACTCGGGTTCGGTTCCCACTAAGGGCATGTACCTTGGTTGCAGTTTGTCCCCGGCCCTGGTTGGGTTGTGTGGGTGGCAGCCACTCGATGTGTCCCTTTCACATCGATGTCTCTCTCTCTCTCTCCTTCTTCCTCCTCCTCCTCTTCTTCTTCTTCTTCTTCTTCTTCTTCTTCTTCTTCTTCTTCTTCTTCTTCTTCTTCTTCTTCTTCTTCTTCTTCTTCCTTCTTCCTTCTTCTTCCTTCTTCTTCCTTCTTCTTCCTTCTTCTTCCTTCTTCTTTCTTCTTTCTTCTTCTCTCCCTCCTACTCTGTCTGAACAAAAAATGGAAAAGTGCCCTCGTATGAAGATTAAAAAATAATAATAAATAAATAAATAAAATAAAAAGGGACAGGTCTTAAAAGAAAAGTGGGGTGGCCCTGGCCAGTTTGTCTCAGCAGTTAGAGTATCGGCCCACGGACCAGAGAGTCCCGGGTTCAGTTTTTGCTAAGCATGTACCTCGGTTGTAGTTGGTCCCTGGCCCCAGTTGGGGTCATGTGGGTGGCAACCACTTGATGTGTCCCTTTCACATCGATGTTTCTCTCTCTTCCTCTCTCTCTCCCTCCCGCTCTATCTGAAGATAAGTGAAAAGAAAGAAAAAAAAAGATGTCCTTGGGGTGACGATAAATTAAAAAAGAAAAGTGGGGTGGAATTTTCTGTTACTCAGGGGCAGCTGTGTTATCAAATATTCTTTCCAGTCCTAAGAACAATATGGAATATAGAAGGAAAAATAGCATTCAGTCTACCACGGTAGTGTAACTATTGGGTTTATTTTCCTTTTCAGTCTTATATATAGCAATGTGTAGTTATCAATGTGTATATGATTTTGTATTTTATTTATTCCATTTAATGTTTTTTTCTGAGTGCATTTTTAAATATTTTTATGTTCTCCAAATTAATGTCTGTGTCCATTGGTTGTGCATATATGCATATAAGTTCTTTGGTTTATCTCTTTCCACCCCCCCCACCCCCCATCCCTCTGAGGTTTGTCAGTCTGTTCCCTACTTCCATGACTCTGGAAATCTTTTGATTGACAGCTTATATTGTTCGTGATATTCCATAATTATGGTACTTGTCTTTTCTCTGACTGGCATATTTCACTCAGCATAATACTCTTCAGATCCCTCCATGTTGTCTCAAAGGGTAAAAGATCTTTTTTACAGCTGCTTGGTATTCCATTGTGTAAATGTACCACAGCTTTTTTATCTACTCATCTACTGATGGACACTTGGGTTGTTACCAGATCTTAGCTATTGCAAATAGTGCTACTATGAACATAGAGGTGTATATATTTTTTATGTTTGGTGTTTCAGGCTTCTTAGGATATATTCCAAGAAGTGGAATCACTGGGTCAAATTGCAGTTCAATTTTTAATTTTTTGAGGAAGCACCATATTGTTTTCCAGAGTGGCTGTACCAGTCTGCATCCCTACCAGCAGTGTGCTAGAGTCTCCTTTTCTCCACATCCTTGCCAGCACTTGTTTGAGGATTTGTTGATGGTAGCCATTCTGGTAGGTGTGAGGTGATATCTCATAGTCGTTTTAATTTGCATCTCTCTGATAATTAGTGATGTTGAGCTGTCTCCTGGCAATTTGTATGTCCTGTTTGGAGAATTGTCTATTCAGGTCCTCTGCCCATTTCTAAATTGGATTGTTTGTCTTCCTTTTGTTGAGTTTTATGAGAACTCTATATATTTTGGATATTAACTCCTTATCCGATGTATCATTGGCAAATATGTTCTCCATATGGGTTCCTTTTTCATTTTGATGCTGGTTTCTTTTGTTGTACAGAACCTTTTTAGTTTGATGTAGTCCCATTTATAAATTTTGTTTGTTTGTTTCTCTCTCTCTTTCTCTCTTTTTTTTAATCCTCACCCAAGGATATTTCTCCATTTATCTTCAGATAGACTGTGGTAGGGGAGAAACATTGATGTGAGAGAGACTAGTTGTCTTCTGCATGACCAGGGCCGGGGACCAAACTATAACTGAGGTACATGCCCCTGATTGGAATCAAACCCACAACCCGTTGGTCTGCAGGCTGATGTTCTAACTGCTGAGCCAAACCAGCCAAGGCTCCTTTGTTTCTCTTGCCCTAGGTGATGTATTAGTGAAAATTCTGCTACATTTATTGCCTGAAATTTTTCTGCCTACATCTTCTAGGATTTTTATGGTTTCACAAGTTACATTTAAGTCTTTTATCCATTTTGAGTTTATTCTTGTGTACGGTGTAAAGTTGATGGTCTAGTTTCATTTTTTTGCAAGTAGCTGTCCAATTTTCCAATCACCATTAATTGAAGAGACTGTCTTTTCTTCATTGTATGCTCTTGCCTCCTTTGTCAAGTATTAATTGCACATACTGTCTTGGGTCAATTTCTGGTTCTCTGTTCTGTTCCATTGATCTGTATGCCTGTTCCTGTGCCAGTACCAGGCTGTTTTGATTACAGTGGTTTTGTACTATAACTTGATATCTGGTATTGTGATCCCTCCCACTTTGTTCTTCTTTTTCAAGATTACTGTGGCTATTCTGGTCTTTTTTGGTTCCATATAAACTTTTGGATTATGTGTTCTAGATCTGTGAAATATGTCATTGGTACTTTAATAGGGATTGCATTGAATCTGTAGATTACTTTGGGTAGTATGGGCATTTTAATGAAGTTGATTTTTCCAGTCCATGAACATGGTATATGTTTTCACTTTTTGTATTTCCCTCTATTTCTTTTTTCAATGCCCTGTAGTTTTCTGAGAATGGGTCTTTTACCTCCTTGATTAAGTTTATTTCTAGGTATCTTATTTTTGTTGTTGCAATGGTAAATGGGACTGTTTTTTTAGTTTTCCTTTCTGAGTATTTATTATTAGTGTATAAGAATGCCATTGATTCCTGGATGTTAGTTTTGTATCCTGCTACTTTGCCAAATTCATTTATTAAATCTAGTAGATTTTTGATGGCGTCTTTAGGGTTTTCTATGTACAGTATCATGTCATCTGTGAATAATGAGAGTTTCACTTCCTCCTTTTCTGTTTGGATGCCTTCTATTTTTTTTTCTTGTCTAATTGCTGTGACTAAGACTTCCTGTGTTATGTTAAATAAGAGTGGCAAAAATGGGCATCCTTGTCTTGTTCCTATTCTTAAGGGAAATGCTTTTAGTTTTTCCCAATGAGTATGATGTTGGCTGTAGGTTTTTCATATATGGCTTTTATTATGTTGAGCTATGATCCCTCTATTCCCACATTGCTGAGTGTTTTTTATCAGAAATGGGTTGTGGATATTGCCGAATGCTTTTTCAGCATCCATTGATATGATCATATGATTTTTATCTTTCATTAGGTTTATCTGGTGCATCACATTTATAGATTTGCAAATGTTGTACCAGACTTGCATCCCTGGGATGAATCCCACGTGGTCATGGTAAATAACTTTTTTAATATATTGCTGGATCCAGTTTGCTAATATTTTGTTGAGGATTTTGGCGTCTATGTTCGTCAGGGATATTGGCCTGTAGTTTTTTTTCTTTGTAGTGTCTTTATCTGCTTTTGGAAGTAGGATTATGCTGGCCTCATAAAAAGAGCTCGGAACTCTTCCTTTCTCTTGAATTTTTTGGAATAGTTTAAGGAGAATGAGCATTAGTTCTTTGAATGTTCGGTAAAACTCCCCTGTGAAATATCTCATACCCAGGCTTTTGTTTGCTGGGAGTTTACATCTTTAATTTCCTTAGTTGTCACTGGTCTGTTCTAGTTTTCTGACTCTTTCTGGTTCAGTTTTCAGAGACTGTGTGATTCTAGGAATTTGTCCATTTTGCCAAGGTTGTCCATTTTGTTGGAGTATAATTGTTCATAGTATTTTCTAATAATCCTTTGTATTTCTGTGGTGTCAGTTGTTACTTCTCTTTCATTTCTGATTTTGTTTATTTGGGTTCTCTCTGTTTTTTTGGTAAGTCTAGGTAAAGGTTCATCAATCTTGTTTATCTTTTCAAAGAACCAGCTCTGTTTCATTGATCTTTTGAATTTTTTTTTAGTCTCTATATCATTTATTTCCACTATGACCTTTATTATTTCTTTCCTTCTATTTGCTTTTCCATTTAATGTTTTTTTCACATGTTAATCTTTTTGTTTTCATATAGTTTTCATACTTATCATGTTATTAACTGTGTCATATTCCATCCCATGGACATTTCACAATGTTTTTAACCTGCCCCTGTTAACAGGCATTCAATTTGCCTCAAGTTTTTTTTTGTTTAGAGTTTTGGAAGAGTGACTTTAAAAAAATAAAGAAATGAGTATCATCATGTATATAATTCTTTTGGAATAAATGTATCTTATGGTTATAAAATTATTGTTAAATTTTCCAAAGTATCTTTTTACCTTATCAGCTACAATACATGAGGTAGATTTTCAGTCTATCCTACCAGCATTGATTTTCCTTTTTTTCTTAGCTTTATAGACAAAAATGGTACTGCACTTCAGCTTGTGTTAATTTCTTTCCATATTTGTTTACTAGTTAATTTTGCTTTGTGAATTGTCTGTTTATGTTCTTTGCTCATGTAACTATTGCAAACTTAATATGAATTTTATCAATTTGTATAAACCCTGTGGAATAATATAAACCTCTTGTCATATTTGCAGGAATTGTTTTCTCTCTAAAGCAGCCTTTATAATAACCAATTTTATTTTATTCTTGGAGATAAATCTAATAGAATAGTGCCTCCTTTTCTGTGTTTATTATCCCTTTTAATGATTTTTTATGTACTTTTTCTATTCCCTCTCAGATGCTTGCCTTTTAGCCATTTTATTACATGCATTTGTATTTCTCATAGGTAGTGACACCGTTTAGTTAGTAGTCCTATAATTTGCATTAAAGTGAGGAAGTTGAAATTAAATTGAGAAGAATTATTTGTTAATTTTATTTAATATTTCCACAGGGAAATTAAACTTAATTATATATGAAATAGTATTCTGAAACCCCATATAAGAGATCACAGATGTAAAATTAGTTTATTCATCTGTGTAAAGAATAATGCCAATGATTATATGAGTAGTAAGGAAATAATTAAAATGGCACTTGTATTATTCTAAATAACTAACACATTAGTTTTAGGCTTAAGCAAAGAAAATAAAGCATGATTTGAATTGCATAACATTTGTGTTTGCCTTGTCAGTCAAACCTTGTTGATAACTTAGGCAGAGTTGTTGGCTTTTCTGTATATCTATTGGGAAATTTAAGTCAGACAGTAATATATGGGTTATCTCTGATATTAAGTACAATTTACCCAATTAGAAGTCAGAAAAATGTGAATATTTTTCAGATGTTATAACAAGTATATTATTGCCATGTATACAGGAAGCCATAAGAAGAAAATGCGGGAAAGAAATGTCATTATTTTCTGTTGACTTTGGCAACTCACTTTTATTTATGATAGGAACTGTGAAGGTATGGGACCCAAGGCAAAAAGATGATCCTGTTGCTAATATGGAACCTGTACAAGGAGAAAACAAGAGAGACTGTTGGACGGTGGCATTTGGTAAGTTGTTGACGAACTCTTGGCTTTGAAGTATCAGATGGTAAAAGCACAGTGCTTCAAGAAAGCCCTGTAGTCTCTGTATAGTCTGTTTTGTGAGTTATTCTGACAGTTTAGAAGCAAATAAATGTGGTGAATTCCAACCTCTATGGCCTGGGTTTGAATTCTCACAGTGCTACTTATTGGCTGTGTGACCTGGGGCAAGTTCTTAAGCTTCTCTGTGTCTTGGTTGCTTCATTTATAAAATGGAAGTAATAATAGAATTTACTTAATAGTGTTGGTATAAGGATTCAGCGGGTTAATACATGTAAAGTGCTTAGAATTGTGCTTAGATTATTAAGTGCTCAAAAAAAATTTGCTGTTGCTATGTACTTGTGTTTAACTAGATAATACTGGCCCAGTTAGAACAAAATCCCAGTATTGAAACTAAGTAGAGCCTTAAGGGCAAATGGTAATCTAACAAATCTTACATTATACTCTACATAGAGTATGTTTATTTTCTAGAAAATAGTTATACCATTACAAAATTGTTTTTTGTAAATTATATTTTTCTCTTAATATATTTATTTCATTATTATTTTTTCTTTATTGGTTTTTAGAGAGGGAAAGAGAGATAGAAACATTGATGAGAGAGAACATCGATTGGCTGCCTCCAGCATGTCCCCCACTGGGGATTTGGCCCACAACCTGGGCATGTGCCCTGGTCGGGAATCGAACTGGCGACCTCTTGGTGCATGGGTCGATGTTCAACCACTCAGCCACACTGGCATCTATTACTATATTTAAAATGAATGTTGAGCCCTGGCCGGTTTGGCTCAGCGGTTAGAGCGTTAGCCTGCAGTCCGGAGAGACCCGGGTTCGGTTCCCGCTAAGGGCATGTAACTTGGTTGCAGTTTGTCCCCGGCCCTGGATGGGTCGTACGGGTGGCAACCACTCGATGTGTCCCTTTCATGTCGATGTTTCTCTCTCTCTCTCTCCCTCCCACTCTATCTGAACAAAAAATGGAAAAATGTCCTCGGGTGAGGATAAAAAAAAAAAAAAGAATGTTGATTTTGTAGTACTAATTGATATTTACCCTTGTGTCTCTTGCTGAGCACCATAATTGAAATAATTTTTGCTAGTAAGAGATATAGGCCATATTTAGTTTTAAAGCTCTATTTTCTTATATATTATAAGCAATAATATATAAATTTAAGGCATATATACTTGGAGAGTATTTCAGGATTAGTATTTAGAATCATTGTCTAAAAATTGACATAATAACTAAAAAGTAATTACCTTTGGATTCATTAAAGCTTTTCATCATTGATCTAAGGGACATAAGTAAAATTTTAAATATAGGACATTAAATATAAAAAGAAAATCCATTGATTTGACAGCTTTTTATGATGCAAGTAGGTGCAAAGCTGTGGGCATATAAAGGTGAAACATGTACTGTATAGCTTCAAGATGCTTGTAGTTTAGTAAAGAGGACATGATGTCTACATTGATTATAGTACAAGATCGGAGTGATAAAGGGCCACAAGAGGCATGGGTAAATAAATGTAGGAGGAATCCCGCGGGAGAGATGACCAGGGTTGAGGCGGGGAGGGGAGGGTACATTTTTACCTCAAGGATATATAGAATTTGAACCACTGAAATTGGAAGGAAATTTCAAGTATAAGGACTAGCTTGAAAAGTGTCCAAGAAAGTATATAGAATGAAATACTGTGGTAGGATTAACTGTAAAGATGACTCAGGCCCACGGCCAGAGATGTTTAGATGGTCTAGAGGTAGTAATAAAACTTTTTTTCAAGGAATGTTTTTTTCAAGGATGAGATATGATCAGAGCTTTAGGAGAATTAACCTGGTGTTATGTAGTGGGGAGAAAGATAAGTGTCAGAGGGAATATGAGTTCTTAAGTTTTGTAATATTCCAGGAAAGACATAGGTTAGAAGCAATGAAGATGAGACAGAGCAGATTGATTTAAAAGATAATATTATGGCAAAATAAATACAATTTGGAAATTTTTTTGAAGATGAGGAATAAGGGAAAGGATGTGTCCAAGTGACTATATTTTTAAGGCTGATTATGGGGTGAAGGATATTATTAATTGAAGAAGTCCCACAGTGGCTGCAGTATGGAGTTTCCTAGAAAAATTAAAAATGGAACTGCCTCATAACTCAGCAATTCTACTTTTGGGAATATATCTGAAGAAACACAAAACACTGATTTGAAAGAATATATGCATCCCTATGTTCACTGCAGCATCATTTACATTCGCCAAAATTTGGAAGCAGCCCAAGTGTCCTTCAGTAGATGCAGATGAATGGATTAAAAAAGCTGTGGTACATTTACACAATGGAATACTATTCAGCCATAAAAAAAGAAGGAAATTTTACCATTTGCGACAGTGTGTATGGCCTGGAGAGCATTATGCTAAGTGAAATATGCCAGTCAGAGAAAGATAAATACCATATGATTTTACTCATATGTGGAATCTAATGAATATAATAAACAAAACGGAAACAGACTCATAGATAGAGAACAGACTGACAGCCATCAGAGGGGAGCAGGGTTTCAGGGCTGGGTAGAAAAGATGAAGGTATTAAGCAAGCAAAAACAAAAACAAAAAAACCTATAGAACTCATAGACACAGACGACAGTGCTGATTACCCGAGAGAAAGGGGACTAGAGGGAGGTAGAAGAGGGTAAAGGAGGACAAACGGTGATGGAAGGAGACTTGACTTAGGGTGGTAGATACACAACACAGTATACACAGATGATGTGTTATATTGTGCCTGAAACCTGTATAACTGTATTAACCAATGTCATTCCAATAAATTCATTAAAAATTAAGGAAAAAAGAAAGAAAGAAAGTCCCACAAAGTGTGTGATGGTTTGTAAAGGAAGATGGTGAAGTCAGTTTTGGACATCTGAGTTTAGGAGGCTGTGGTAGCATCTAAAGGGAGCCCTCAGTGGAAATGCAGAGCTGGAGTTTATGAGAAAGAGAGGAGATTGGAGGCAGTAGAGAGAACAAAGGCGTTGGGATAAGGTGCCCAGATAGCCCAGCACAGTTACAGGGGCCTCCCTCTCACTTAACACATTTTCTTTGGCAAGTAGTACCCCTGAAAAAATCTCTGGAATCAAGTAAGATGAATTTAACTACAGATAATAAATTTACAGGTGTGATCATCCAACTAAAAATATATCACAGGGTGCTACAACTTATTTCAGGTTTTCTTACAAAGATGAGATAACACCAGAACAAACTTGCAAAATAAATAAGTTTTAAAGTGGTTTCTATTTACATTCAAATATAGTTACTACCAAAGAAAGCAGTGGAAGTATAGCTGTATTTATTCTACCAAATTATACTATGTTTGGACTGTAGTTGACCTTTTGTCTTTGCAGATACAGTTGGCCCTCATTTATCGTGGTTAATCAGTTCCAGACTCTACGGCGATAAATGAATTTCCAAGAAGTGGGATTCTTTATTCACATACAGTCGACTCTCGCCACTTCGCGTTTCGACTTTCACGGCTTCACTCTTGTGCAGTTTTTTCAAATATAGAAGTCGAAGCGGGAAGTGGTGAGGGACGACTGTAAAGTATAGAGAGAACATTTGCTCTCAACTTAGAATCCAATAAATATTTTCACTTATCCCTTTAGTATAGAATGAGCTTTAAAAAACGCATATCAGCCCTGGGCAGTTTGGATCAGCAGTGGAGTGTCGGCCCACGGACCAATCAATGAGTCGTGGGTTCAATTCCAGCCAAGGACGTGTACCTCAGTTGTGGTTCATCCCCGGCCCTGGTTGGGTCGTGCGGGAGGCAACCAGTCGATGTGGCTCTGTCACATCGATGTTTCTCTCTGTCTCTCTGTCTCTCTCCCTCCCTCCCTCCCACTCTTATCTAATGATAAATGGAAAATATCCTCAGGTGAGGAATTGAAAAAATACACACACACACACACACACGTGTGTGTGTGTATATATCAGATACCAAATTACTAATCTGATGTCCTGTCAGGATTGCTAACATGGGATTCTACCCAAAGTGATTTTGTAAAATCTGATTCAGTACAAATTATATGCCTAGTTTCATAAAAGTATTTTAGCAGCCTGCAGATTAGCTTTTATAAAGATCTGAAATGTTGTGTCTCGGCGTGCAGGCAATGCTTATAATCAAGAGGAGCGTGTTGTGTGTGCTGGCTATGACAACGGGGACATCAAACTGTTTGATCTCAGAAGTATGTCACTGCGATGGGAGACTAACATTAAGAATGGGGTAATGTACATTTGGATTCTCTTTAGTTTCTCTGAGCATATTTTCATCCACCTCTGAACTACTACAAAAGGAAAGTGACTCTAATAACTCTTCTCGGTAAACCCTGCTACCAGTGGTTCTTAACCTTTCGGGGCTGTGGAGCCCTTTGGGAATCTAATGAGAAGCACGGACCCTCTTTTGGAAAGTGAGCACACACCCTGATGTGTGGCAGTTCTGGGTGAGTCACCAGCCCCTGCAGCCCGACGTGGACACCTGTGGGCCATGCATTGTGATAGCAAAATGAGCATGTAAGAGGCCTTTTTTCTGCTAATATTAGAAAGCCTGAAAATAGTAATAGTCTTCCCAGGTACTTTCAGATTTTTGGTTCCAGAGCTCTGTGCCTTTTGCAAAGAATGTGATTCCCTCCTGTTTTCTAAAGTTAGCCTTGACTTAACTGTGTACAGTAATTGGGGAACTCAAGATGGTTTGAGCTAAAAAAACAGAGATGGTTTGATCATAGTAACCAAGAGGACATTTTTTATGGTTTAAAAGTTTTTAATGTATTATTCAAAACACAAAATGATTGTTTAAATGCTTTCAATTTTAAAGTTGTTATACTTCGTTTGAAAGAACCTCCTGAATATTAATCATTAGACCATCAGTGATAAATATTCTCTATTTTCAGGTGTGTAGCTTGGAGTTTGACAGAAAAGATATAAGTATGAATAAACTAGTAGCGACATCTCTGGAAGGAAAGTTTCATGTTTTTGACATGAGAACACAGCATCCGACCAAAGGGTTTGCTTCTGTTTCAGAAAAGGTAAATCTGTGGGAAATGTCTTTCTGTGAAGAGGAATGTTCTTATCTTGTTTTAAATTCATAAGTAGACTTAGTCACCAAGGTTCCTTCCAGGTCTTTATGTGAAGGGAGCTATTTTTAATATGTTCTTGTGGGATCTTGACAAGGTTTTTTGTGCAAAGAGTACTTTCCCAAAGTTTACCAGTTTTAGACTTCTTGGTTATAATAAAGGTCTCAGCTGGCTAGGAATCTGATTTTGTAGTTAAGGAGCAAGCATAGGAAAACTAGCTGATGACAGGAGTTTGATCAACAAAACCTAGCCTGCGTTTGCTGATAATATATAAGATTTGTATTTATACCTAATTATATAGTTTTAAGTGTAAACCAATATACGCCTTAGTATACTACTAATTAAATACGTTTCAAAAATACATCAACATATATATATTATGCCGTTTAATCAGATTTTATTTTACATTCTAGTTTGCTGTGTTAAATAAAATTATTTAAAGTGTTAATCACTGTGATACATAGTAGGTGCTCAAAAATTTTATTCATTCATTCATTCATTCATTCATTCATACTTACATACATACATACTTTGTCTTGTTCCTAATATTTGATGCAGCTTAGAAGGAAATGTGGTATTAACAACATTCAAAGGGAAAATGCTAGTTTAAAAAAAAAATAAGATGACATCTGGAGTAAGAGGATTGCATAAAATTTATGCGAAAACATCCTATCATTTGCAAGAAATGGGTTAGAAATATGACTGTGAGCTTTCTCTAGTATAAAAATAAAGGTCAGTTACCAACTTGTAGTTTTTGTAAGATTAAAATATGTAAGTTGTTCAGGAAATAAAAACTCACTCCTTTTCTCATTCTACCATGGATTCTGTAGAACTTCTCAAACATTTATCTTATTTTCTTGTTATAATGATTATTGCATGCAAATCACTGCCAATACTAAATTCTTAACAAAGTAACTCATACATTGTAATATTGTTTTGCCTTTGTTATTTCAGAATATACTAAGTATCAACATAAAGAGCTTTACTAAATTATTTTATATACAACTGCAACATGTTTCTTATCTATAAATTATAGTGTTATCTTCAAAAATTTTTTTTTTACTTTTAGTTAATCTAATAATTGCTAAGTCTGACAAATAAATGTTGTATTTTAAGAGGTCATATCTCCTCTTACTTGTGGGGTTTTTATCAACTTCCAGAAGAAAATGAGAGTTAAGCTACAAAACAAATTAAAATATGTTTTAAGAGCTTAAACCTAATCACTTGAGGACTCACACACTTAAAGTGTGTATTTGGAGATGTGTTTTTATCTGCTAATGGTAATTCTCTTAAAAGACTATTAAAATCAAATATCAAGACTAATCACTCACTAAAATGTGAAGTGGCTTAGATCACGTTAGGCAGTCGCACTGCTTCTACAAAGCAGAAGTCTTTCATCCCTCCGGTCCTGTCCCTTCGCAGCCCCTCCCCTCCCCTCCTCTCTGTTCCCCACAGTGGATATAGCACTCCTAGCATTGATTTACTGGCTGTTAACATGCTAGCCAGCTGTTCACCTTTATCTAGTTGCCATTTTTATCTTTTAGTTTAATAAGACTAATAAGGCCTTGGCTTATTGTGACCATAGACACTCTATAAGTTCTTATTTTGGAGACCAGAGAAGTCCACTGGTGTAGATTGAAAATAGAACTCTGGGAGCTATAGGTTAAAATTCATTCTGTATATGGGAACAATCCGTACTCTCCACTCAGTTTTACTGTGAACCTAAAACTGCACTAAAATATAAAGTTTATTTTTTTAATTCAATCTATATTTTTCCCTTAGGAAGAAGTATGTGGTTTTGTATTTTAACTTTTTTCCTCTTCAGAGTGAGCTAGAGCTACAAATATATAAAATCTATTTGCATGATTTATATGATGCTTTAAGCTTAGCCTTTTAATCTGATATCTTTTTTAATCCAGTAGAACTTTGTTTCATAAAGCAGTTCTGATGGGTTCCTGTAAATCTCTGTAGCCATTATAAAGAGAAGGACCAGAAAATCATTACTTTTATAGCAGCTGTTGAAACTATAGAAGTAAAATTTCTTTCTTTACTGGGTTTGTCTTCCAGGGCAGTCTTTATTATATAAACTTACAAACCACTTGTGTGCCTCTCGTCCTGTTTAGGCTCATAAATCTACCGTGTGGCAGGTCCGACACCTGCCACAGAACAGAGAGCTGTTCCTGACAGCTGGTGGCGCCGGCGGCCTCCACCTCTGGAAGTAGTAAGTCCCCGCCGTGCACCTGGCTCCTTTGTAGGTTACTTGAGGGCATCAAGTAGGATTAGATTGAACTTCTTTGCCTTATTTTCCTCCTTTGACTTAGTTCATTTTGCTATGATTTTAAATTTTATGATATTACATAAGTATTATTTTCTAAGCAGTCTTAAAACAAATCTACTTATTGTACACATAGTAAATATTAAGCCTTTGACACATTAGTAAATTTGTTTGTATTTAGTTGTCCATATATTATAGTGGGTCAGGAACAATTCTTTTTATAGATTTGAAATCATGGGTTTTTGCTAGTTGTGGTTTTTTTTTGTTTTGTTTTGTTTTTTAATAGGAAAACTTTCACCGAAAGCTTTTGTGCAGTATTATAATCAGGGCGTCAGAACACTACCTCTAGAAGATAGGAGAAGTTTGGAACTGTTAGTTTTAGATCCTAATAATTCACTTGTTCAAGTTCAGATAACACCCTTGTAATAGAACCAAAACAGAGTGGAGGCCTCTGATTGGTCTCCAGGAAGCTTTGTCATTGACTTTGTTTTCTGCATGCCACAGCAGGTGAGGGGCAGTGAGAGCTTACCCTGCACCGTGCGTTCAGTCCTAAGGGCCCAGAGGTGGCAGATACTAGACTAGCTGTCTATTTAAAAGGCCTGATAAAAATTGTGTTAATGATTATCTCTTTCTGTAAATATCACCCAAGAAAAAAGAAAAAAAAAAAACAAGTCATCAATGAAAGATACTTCAGAAATAAAATTCGAAAAAAAAAGAAATAAAAGAAAAACATCTTAAATGCTTCTGGGACTTCCATATTTACAAAATACTTTTCTATTTATTAGTTCCTTTTAGAAGCTAGAAGGGCTACAGAAGTATTTAGAGATATAGCTGACCAAACACCAAGAATGAATGCTTTAGATATAGTTTCTGTGAATAAAAAGCAGAGGAAAAGTCTAAGAGATCTGAGAGAATGCCTGCTTGATGGGTCATTTGGTAGTTTCCCTTTCTCTAGCGCCTTGTTATGGTTCTTCCCTGGTCATTCCAACCCCATCTCCACTCAGGGCTACACTGCAGATGCCCGAGAGCCATGCAGCGGCACCTCACTGTTCTACCGGAGGACCGAACTCCTTAGGCTGCTTCCTTGAAGCACTCAGTCCCAGTTTTCTTTGTAATCCACGCATGGAGTTGTTTTCCCCGTGATACACAAACACATTTACAGCTGGGATTTTTTACTATCATGGATTTAGTTAACATCAGTGAGGTTGGTCTGTATGCAGTTAGAAATTTGTAATTTATCTCAGTTAACTTTAATTCTTAACATAACAGATATCTAGTGTAACCTTCAAATTGGTTTGGAGCTTTGCTGTCAGGTATTAACCAGCAAAGAAGAACTGTTTAAGAAAATGATATTTAGCTTTATTTCCATTTGCCAGTTTCCCTTGGTAGTAATGCAATTAAATTGTAACTATGTCTTGAGTACCTAATCAAGAATTCCTAAGGAAACTCATCTAGTTATTCAGAAATTGTTTTATGAATGAGTGGACCCCAACATGCTGATTGGTTTTTTTGCATTTTTGAAACACATAAAATCTCAAAATTTTAATGGACAGTGTAGAGAGTTTTAAAAGTCTGTTATGTGTTAAATACTAAGTTATTTCAGCCTTTGCTAAAAGACATGAAAAATGTTGACTGTTTATTCATCTGAATGTTTTATTCCTTTTAATCAAAAGTAATTGTAAGGTCTAAGAGGAAGAGGGAATAGTTACCTGTTTATCACTTCTATTTCTACTCTGCTTCTTAGTTGGTTTTATTTTTAAACTCTTGGACTTATTTTAAAAATACAGATAGTATCATAGTTAATACCTAACAGGCTTTAATAAATATGTTTTTATTGATTTTTGAGAGAGAGAGGTAAGGGGAGAGAGAGAAACATTGATCGGCTGCCTCCTGTACACCCCCTCCTGGGAATTAAGCCCACAACCTGGACATGTGCCCTGACCTGGAATCCAACCAGGACCTCTCAGTCCATGGAATGCCGCTCAATCCACTGAGCCACACTGGCCAGGCTACCTAACAGGCTTTAAAAGGCCTTCTAAGGAGGAGCAATACCCCAGTAACACCTCTATGTGCTGTAAGGGAAGTTTCCTCTCCCCTCTCAAATCTAGACCAAATAGTATTTATAAGTTGTTCACCTTCAACTCTTCTTATAAATTTATATTTCCAGCGGAAGGAAAATCACACATTTCAGACTGGCTTTTTTCTGTTTTGAAGCAATGGTGTTTCGGTCCAGAATCTCCTCCCAGCAGTGCCTGCCCAGAGTGGTACACACAAGGTTCTCAGGCTGGGACCTGCAGTGGAGCCCTGGGGTAGAAACCAGTGCCCGCCATCCGCTCTGGGGGTGTTTACATGGGGCTCTGCAGATGTTCCTGCAGCTTTGCCTTTCACATGCTGTATCTCCTCTTCCCTCTTTGTTCTTGCTTTTAGCGAATACCCTGTTCAGCGGTCCAAGAAAGACTCGGAGGGAGTAGAGATGGGAGTTGCGGGTTCGGTGAGCCTTCTGCAGAATGTTACATTGTCTACCCAGCCCATTTCCAGTTTGGACTGGAGTCCAGATAAAAGGGGCCTCTGCATCTGCAGTTCATTTGATCAGATGGTAAGAGTACTGATTATTACAAAACTCCATAAAATTTGATCTGAAGACTTTGGACTTTGAAACGTTCCAGCAGAACACTCATAGTATTTAGAATGTGTCCTGGATCCTCTGACCCCACTGAACAAGTTGGATTTGACTGATGACGAAAGGCTCAGACGCAAACCTCCAGGCTAGCTTCTCTCGGTGTGGAATGCCCAGCGGCGTGTTCCGGCCACCTGGCTGGTCACTGGGTTGCTGCTGCACATGGGGGTACCACGGTCTCCACAGCCGGCTGTGTTCCTCTCCTTTCGTTTCTGATACAAAGTTGATACTCATCTATATTTCAACATATTTAAAATTTTTTTTATCCTCACTCGAGGACATTTTTGCATTTATCTTCAGATAGAGTGGGAGGGAGGGAGGGGGGAAGAGAGAGAGAGAGAAACATCGATGTGAGAGAGATACATCGACTGGCTGCCACCCACATGACCCCATCCAGGGCCAGGGACAAACTGCAACCGAGGTACGTGCCCTTCCTGGGAACCAAACCCGGATCTCTCTGGTCCGTGGGCCAGAGCTCTAACCACTGAGAAAACTGGTCGGGGCAACATATTTAAATTTGTTCTGCATCCCCAAAGTTCCATATTTTATAATAAACACTTGTGTTGTGTTTCAGTGTTTATTTCCACTGTTGTGATAGGGATCACTTAATTGGGTTTAAAATGGTTTGCCTTGGTGAAACTGTGAATTAACCTTCATAAATACACTTGGAGAGGTTTCACAGTCACTAAGTTTCAGTACAAAATACTACTTTATAAAATAACCAAAGTATGTGGTCAAATGAGATTTGGGTAACTGTTTTTAGCAGTTTAACTCATAAAATAAAATGCTGTGATTTACAGAGACCTCTTTTTTACCTAAAAAACAGGTCTTGGATGTTGACTGTGGTAAATGATACTGACATGTTCAAGACTGGGGGGTTTTGTAGACTCACTTTTTGTCAAACTTTTTATATATTTTATGAATAAATTTTTGTTTTTGAAATCTGTGGTAAATCTGATTCTTTGAACTTAGTGGTAATAAAGCCAACACCATCACTTCTTTTGCTTTATAAATGCGTACTGAGTACCTCTTCATCCCTGGTGTCTTCAGAGTTCACTGTGTCTTTGGCTAAGCTCAGAGGTGTTCATTGTATCACACTTTTCTTAAAGCCCACCTTCCCTCCTCCATTCAAGAGACGGCCACCTAAACATGCGTAATACATGAAATTCATGTGATTGCAGGGTTTCTTGGAAAGTCACTTGTTTGAAATATTAATTTCAGAAAATTAACTTTTAAAAAAAATCCCCAAATCTTGGATAGAACAATACTAGGGACATAATTATGAAAGTAAAATTAAATTGAACTTTTAAAATGCCTATCCCTGCTGACTTGTTGTGTGATTTTCGTGAGCCCTGGCCGGTTTGGCTCAGCAGTTGGAGTGTCTGCCTGCGGACCAGAGAGTCCCAGGTTCCGTTCCTGCTAGGGGAACATACCAAAAAAAAAAAAAAGAAAAGATATACAGTGATACCTCGGTTATCGAACATAATTCGTTCCAGGAGGACAGTCGAGAACCGAATTGTTCGAGAACCGAATTGTTCGAGAACCGAAGCAATGAAACCCAATAGGAAAGCGTGACTCCACAAAGCGTGACTCTCTCTGCACTCACACTGATGACGCAAGCAAGGCGCGTTGGGCCGAATGAACGCCATTCGGCTCAACTCGGCTCATCTCGGAAGTTCGAGTTCCAAATATTTGTTCGGATTCCGAGACAAAAGTTTCTCGAATCTCCTGGTCGAATACCGATTTGGTCGAAAACCGAGGCGTTCGAGAACCGAGGTATCACTTATTTGTGAAATTGTCTCTTACAACACTTGTATTTGATGGTATAATTAGTGAGGTGGAAGTCTAGAACAATAAATACTTGATTTCACTAGATCTAAGATGTCAGTGATTGTAAAATTATACCACTGACAAAGAAAAACGTTGCCAGTGAAACATACAGTGCTTTCTTATCACTTAGCAGTTCTTTAACGTTCATTGAATGACCTGTTAAACTTATTTATGTATAGATTTCTTCATTATACATCATACTTGTATGTCCTTAAAAAGGAAAATATATACAAAATAAATGTGGTTGGTACTCCTCAGATTTCTTCCTTTTCAGAGTCTGATCCTTCTAAGTCACTTTCTGAGTTGACTCATCACTGCTCTTGGTTTTCCTTAGTGTTGTCTTTTGTACTGTGAAGTGTTCACGCAGCCTTTCTTTTAACACGTGCTGCTCGGTGGTCTTCAGGGTTTTCTCTGAGTTCACTGACACTTGTCCTGTAAGTTTTGGTCACACGTGTGGCCATCACAACTGTTTCTGTTTAAGAAATGGCTGCATGCCCTGGCCTGTTTGGCTCAGCGGTTAGAGCATCAGCCTGCGGTCCAGAGAGACCCGGGTGCAGTTCCCGCTAAGGGCACGTACCTCGGTTGCAGTTTGTCCCCGGCCCTGGTTGGGTCATGTGGGTGGCAGCCACTCGATGTGTCCCTTTCATGTCGATGTTTCTCTCTCTTCCTCTCCCCCCCCCGCCCCTCCCACTCTATCTGAACAAAAAATGGGAAAATGTCCTCGGGTGAGGATGAAAAAACAAACAAACAAAAGAAATGGCTGCAAAACTTGGTGTCTTAAACAGGTAGCTATCATTTACTGTGCTTCTGGATCTGCGATGTGGGCAGGGCTCAGCAAGGAAGGCTCATCTGTGCTCTGTGCAGCGTCATTTGGGCTGGAGGATCTGCTTCCAAGGTGGCACTCACATGGCCTTGTTTTGTTTTTAACATTCCAAAAACTGATGAGCTTTCCTGCACTAGACCATATAAATGAAACATGTGAAAACCAAAATGGCACTTGATTCATATACAAGGAAGGATGAGTCTCTTAGGTACCACAGTGCTGAGGTTTGCCAATTGGTGTGCGCTCCTCTTCATGTCAACTTTCTGAGGTGCTGTGTTGCTCTGAAGGCTTCCTGTGGGTGGAATTAGAGACAGGTTGGCAGCATTTAGAAATGATTCATCCAGACTTCTGGTCAAGATGGCAGCGTAGGTAAACGTGGTATCGCCTCCTCCCACCATCACATCAAAGTTACAACTAAACTACAGAACAACTATCATTCAAAACAGCCTGAAATCAAGCTGAATGGAAGTCCTACAACTACGGAATTAAATAAGCAGCCACATCCAGACTGGTAGGAGGGCGGAGTTGCGATGTGTGGTCCCAAACCCACGTGTGGCGGATAAAAATCAGGAGACTACCTTGGCTGGGAAGGTCCTCCCTGAGGACTGAGGGGTTCCCGTCTCACACCAGGTACCCTGCTCAGGGTTCCAGTGCCAGGAAGAGAAGTCCCTATAACTTCTGGCTGGAAAAACCAGTGGGAACCGAGGCTCAGGGAGGATGAGGCGGCTGGAACCCCAGGCAGCTCCTCTTAAAGGGCCCGCTCATGGACTTACTGGACTCACTCCCTCTAAGCTTGGAGGAGAGGCAGCTCGAGGGGCGCCAGAGACATACAGGGAAGAACTGAGCTGTTTGGCACTGGAGCAAAGGGCTGGAGAGGGGGCTTTCTCCTGGACAAACGTGCTGTCAGAGGCCTTTGTTCCTTTGGTGAGCCCTTCCCTGGGGCCGCAGACAGTCTCCATATGTGGGACTTCAGCAACCTGACTCACACTGGTTGCCCCGCCCTGGTGGTTCCCTGAGGCGCCGGCCCGCCCAACTTTCAGGCCCACCCAAGCTGTTGCCAGTTGCTTTACCATAGGATTGACCTGTCCTGGATCCTGCTTCAGGTTTTCCTAAATTCTTTCAAACAAGCAGCATCTAGTCTCAGCTAGCTCCATACCTCTCGTTAAGTTAATACACAGAAACAAACACAGGGAGGCAGCCAAAATGAGGAGACAAAGAAACAGGTCCCAAATAAAAGAACAGAACATAACGCCAAGAAAAGAACTAAGCGAAATGGAGATAAGCAACCTAACAGATGCTGAGTTCAAAATACTGCTTATAAGGATGCTCAATGAACTTAGTGAGAACCTCAATGAACTTAGTGAGGGCCTCAAGAGCATAAAAAAGGACCAGTCAGAAATAAAGGATGCACAGTCAGAAATGAAGGAGGCACTGACTGAAATAAAGAATAATTTACACAGATTCAATAGTAGAGTACGTAAATCCAAGAAGCAAACCATTGGTTTGGAATCTAAGGAAGCAAAAAACGCCCAATAGAACAGCAAAAAGAAAAAAGAATCCAAAAAATGAGGATAGTGTAAGGAGCCTCTGGGACAACTTCAAGCGTGCCAACATTCGCATCTTGGGGGTGCCAGAAGGAGAAGAGCGAGAACAAGAAATCGAAAACCTGTTTGAAACAATAATGGCAGAAAACTTTGCTAACTTGGTGAAGGAAACAGACATATAAGTCCAGGAAGCACAGAGAGTCCCAAACAAGATGAACCCCAAGCGGCCTACACCAAGACACATCATCATCAAAATGCAAAAGGTTCAAGACGATCTTAAAAGCAGCAAGAGAAAAGCAGTTAGTTACCTACAAGGGAGTTCCCATAAAGCTGTCAGCTGATTTCTCAAAATTTGCAGGCCAGAAGGGAGTGGCAAGAAATATTCAAAGCGATGAAAGGTAAGAACCTACAACCAAGATTACTCTGTCCTGCAAAGCTGTCATTTAGAATTGATGACCGACCATATAAAGAGTTTCCCAGACAAAGAAAAGCTAAAGGAGTTCATCACCACCAAACCATTATTATATGAAATGTTGAAGGGTCTTCTTGAAAAAGATAAAAAATATGAACAGACAATGAATACATAGCTATCAACAATTGAATCTACAAACAAAATGAACAGGCAGAACAGAAACATTCTCATAGATACAGAGAACATTTTGTTGGTTGCCAGATGGGAGGGGGGTTGGGGGAATGGGTGGAAAAGGTGAAGGGATTAAGAAGCACAAATTGGTTGCTAGTCTGACAAACCTCAAAGGGAGGGGGGGTTGGAGAGTGGGAAGAAATAAACCAAAGAACTTTTTTTTTTTTTTTTTATCCTCACCCGAGGATATTTTTCCATTTTTTGTACAGATAGAGTGGAGGGAGAGAGAGGGAGAAACATCGATGTGAAGGCACACATCGAGTGGCTGCCACCTGCACGACCAATCAGGGCCAGGGACAAACTGCAACCGAAGTACGTGCCCTTAGCGGGAACCGAACCCGGGTCTCTCCGGACCGCAGGCCGACGCTG